AAAATGCGGGACCAGTAGCTGCCCCAGGGACCGCGCGCTGGGTCTTGGTCAAAACGGTGGCAAAGCAGTGGCAGGGCGGAAAAGTGGAAAAGTTCGCAGCCCGTCAGGGGTGCGTTTTCCCCCTTGAGACATTTGCCCCCGAGACATTTTCATCGTCCTTCGTTATACCAGTTGTTGATTTGGGCTCGTTTGGTTGTTGGAAGGTTCGAAAAATCCAGGAAGGTGTAGGCACGACACTTTGGGGGGTGGTGGCAGTTTTTATGAAAAATGCCGGACCGGTAGCTGCCCATGGGACCGCGCGCTGGGTTTTGGTTGAAACGGTGGCAAAGCAGCGGCAGGGTGGATCTTTGGGGGAGGGTGGCAGTTTCTTTGAAAAATGCGGGCCCGGTAGTTGCCCGTGGGACCGCGCGCTGGGTCTTGGTCGAAACGTTGGCAAAGCAGCGGCAGGGTGGAAAAGTGGAAAAGTTCGCAGCCCGTCAGGGGTGCGTTTCCCCCCCCTGAGACATTTCCCCCCGAGACATTTTCATTGTCCTTCGTTATACCGGTTGTTGATTTTAGCCTCGTTTGGTCGTTGGAAGGTTCGAAAAATGCAGGAAGGTGCAGGCATGACACTTTGGGGGGGGGTGGCAGTTTCTTTGAAAAATGCCGGACCGGTAGCTGCCTGTGGGACCGCGCGCTGGGTTTTGGTTGAAATGGTGGCAAAGCAGCGGCAAGGTGGATCTTTGGCGGGGGGGTGGCAGTTTCTTTGAAAAATGCGGGATCGGTAGCTGCCCGTAGGACCGTGCGCTAGGTTTTGGTCGAAACGGTGGCAAAGCAGCGGCAGGGTGGAAAAGTGGAAAAAGTCTGAATCGGAAAGGGCGCGGCCTTGGCCGCAGGTTGCAACGGCACACCTGCATTGCATTTGCAAGTGCAAACATATGTGTCTGAACGTGGACGTATTCAACGCCCCACACGTTCAGCGTCCGATTGAGTGAGTCACATGTGATAAAACAACTTTATTTAATAAAAAGAAGACTTACAACAACAAACACTCAAGCACACACATATACGACATATGGACCAAAATTCAAGGACCACCAGCCTCGACACCAACTATGAATCAAGGATGTCAAATATCTAATACATCAATACCATACAAAATACCTGAATCCCACACATTCCAACACTAACAGATGTGATAAACGCAAACACCCTAAGTATCACACACACACACGCACACACACACACACACACACACTAATCTTGACACATAGGGTCTCGCTCCACTAGACTCTCAAAGATTTTCGAGAGTGAGTCTAGAGCTGTCAGACTCTAGGAATGACTGAAAAAGAGAACATCGCTCCACTTACTCTAGAAGGTCAAACTCAAGAAGGCCTCTCTGATGTCAGACCGCTCTTTGAGAGAGCTACACGACACGACCAGCACATTGTTGTTCGCCCAGACTCCAGGTGCACTCCATAAAAATGTTCAACTTTCGAAGGTCCTGGATACCTCCCTTGAAATTCCCGCCACTGCAGGCGGGAGCTCTCGAATCGTCAAGAGTGCCATGGGAGAGGAGGTTCTGACAACTCAAGAAATGCATTTTCGTGAGTGTGTTTCATGAGGTAGTGGAGCGACAACGGATTCTCGCCATTTTCGTGAGCTCAAGAACCCGAATTCCAGACCTGACGTCTAGAGTAAGTGGAGCGGTGCCGCGCGCTCAAGAAATGGCCCTTTTCTAGAGTAGTGGAGCCAGACCCATACACACAAATACTCCTTTTTTTCCATGCAACAATCACCCTACTTCTAAACGTCACCCATCACCCTACTTATAAACCTCACCTATAACGCCCCCTTTATCAATCAAGAATATACAAACTACGGGCTGCGCACCCGTGCCCTCGCCGTAAGTCAATATGCCCTCAGGGCCTTGCCACGCGACTGTCTAAACGGAAAAAGGACGAGTGCATCTTCCTGGAGCACGGCAAAATGGGCCGGTTATTATGAATAGCAACTGATGGATCTTAGCATTTTCCCGGAAAGATGCACTATGGATCTTACCATTTCCTGTGGAGCGATGCACTCGTACTTTCGACAGTGGTGTGGCGAGGCCCTATAGCACTGGATTGATTCGTTCGCAAGTGGGGGGGGAGAAAAAGTTGATTTGGGAGTTGTCAGGGGGACGAGAAGACTACTCGTCTTCACCGGAATAGAACGCCCGGTCATTATAGCTGTATTTGGTCGAAGCTGTAAGAGCGTCGCCACACCACTCCCGAGAAATGTGCAAAATGAGAACGAACTTCCAGCTATAACATGGCCAGATGCACCGGCCACATTTTGTCTTTTTCACATTTCGAGAGTGGTGTGGCGGGGCCCTAAGTCTAGATGCGGTCATTATGCGGTCATAATGACCGGGCGTTCTATTCGGGTGAAGACGGGAGCAAGCATGCCCCCTTACGCAAGGATGACTGTCATTAGCTCACGTACAACATACGTACGAAACAATTCGTGCTTGCGGCTGTTTTTTTTTTTTTTGGCTGTTGATTTCTGCGAGGGCGAAATTCCGCGTCCGGCCTACGGATTGAAAAGAGGACGGCTTCTGGAAAAAAAAAAAAAAGGCTACAGTACAGTTTTAGAACTTGAGCGCATCTGGACAGCGTGCCTGTTCAGATGCGTTCGAAATGCTGGCGGATGGCGAGTGGCGCGACGAAGCCCTTGTTAACTACAGACGACAGAGAGGAAGAAAAGAATGAGAGTGAAATTTTGTGCGCGAAGAGCGACGAAGCCCTTGTTAACTACAGACGACAGAGGGGAAGAAAAGAAAGAGAGTGAAATTTTGTGCGTGAAGAGCGGCGAAAAGAAGAAGGAGAAGAGAAGAGAAGAAACTTGTGTGCCATCGAAAAACGAGGCGGTCTTGGCTCGACTGGTGTGTATTTACGTTCTGTATTTTGCGCGCGTAAGACCTCCTCCGCAGCACCGCCGGTCACTAAATTTGTAATCTCTAAAAAAAAAAAAAAAAAAAAAAAATTGTAATCTCGAGAACATACGTATCTTTCCCTACAACGAGGCGATATTCTTTCGCTGTTACATAAATTCACAAAAATTCCACGCCCCCATAGTTCATATCTATTTCACACATTTTGGTTTGGGTGAGTGGCGCGGGCGCGGCAAGGCACGGCAAGGCACGACCCTCAGCGCATATGGTGTTGGTGGCCAAATGACGATTCTTTTGGGGTACTAGGCGATCCTCGACGTCGATTTCTTCAATCTCAACGGAACGATTTGCCTGTCAGCGACTTGCTTGCGTGGCAACGATTGCCGCCTCGTTCCACTACTCGCACCACATGCACAAAGGACAAAAAACATGGCGGTGCATCTGTTCTTGTTCTAGCGGAAGATTCATTGTTACTTCGCGCATTTGGTGAGTAGTGGAGCGAGGCCCATTGCCGCCTCCTCCTGCGATACCGCCCCCCTACCTATCTCGCGACGCCACGAAGTTTTGTCTTTCGGACTCGGGAATGTGATTGTGTTCAATCTATCTTTTTTTTTTCTTTTTTTTCTTTTTTCTTTTCCTTCTTCTCTCGGTTGCTGTGCTGATCATGGTCATCGTGGTGATGATGATGAAGAAAAAAGATGACGATGAATGAGAATGGCGATGGCGATGATGTCCGATGACGAAGCGAACCACCTACCCTCTCCTCTCGCTGGGATCCACCTACGTTGAATGCCGCTCTCGCTCTCGCTCTCGCTCTCGCCGAGAGAGAGAGAGGGGAATGCTCTCTCGCGTCCTGCGAGCAAAATTACCACAGTGATTATTATAATGTCCAGGCCTTCACCCACAGTCATTATTATAATGACCCAAGCATGAGTCGAAGCTGACAATCTGATTCGGGTGGGGTTGCTAACCGTACGTCCATCCACAGCCGTTGTTTCTGTCCGTCGATGGCTATAAGTCCAGGATGATCCTAACGACGACATCGCTGTCGCCTCGTATCATAGGCAGCGGAGTGTAAGGTGAACGCCCTCATAGGTAGGTAGCCTGTGGGAGCGGGCAGGCGGCTTGAGTTCCTCCCCTTTTCCTCCTCCTCCTCTCCTCCTCCTCCTCCTGTTCCGCCTTCTCCACGTGTTTATACATAGCCTGTGGTAGCAGGTAGGCGGCTTGAGTTCCTCCTCCTCTCCTCCTCTCCTCCTCTCCTCCTCTCCTCCTAGTTCTCCTCGTGTTCCTCCTCCTCCTCTCCTCCTCCTCCTCCTCTCCTCCTCCTCCTCCTCCTGCTGGTTCTCTTTGGTTGCCGCCTCCATTTGTTCCTCGTAATCGTCAACGATGTGCGAGTCCACGGCGAGGCATCGGGTCAACCTCGTGATGAGTCGGTGAAACGTCGGAGGAAACTCCAGTTTTCTGTTTGTCCGTTTCTCCCGTTCTGCTTAAGACTCACCCAGAGTTTGCTGTGACGATAAATATGTCGAGCGGGTTTTGCATCTGACGATGGGTCTTTGCCGACTGGTCGATGTTCTGCTAAGAGGAAGAGGGGTAACGAGAAGTGGAAAGAGAGATTAGGAGCAAATTTGAATAAGATCAAGGAGAAGCAGCAGGAGGAGGAGAAGGAGGAGGAGGAGGAGGAGGAGGAGGATGAGAGAAACATTCGAGGAAAAGGCAGAAGGATGAGTCAAAGGTGGAAAGGGAGGAGTAGGAAAGATGATCCGCGAACGTTTTATACCCAGTGAGCTCTCGCTGTGAATGTAATTTGTCGTCCTCTCCTCTTCTCTCCTCTCCTCTTCTCTTCTCCTCTCCTCTTCTCTTCTCTCCTCTCCTCTCGTCTTGCCTACTCCCGTCTCTTTTCGTTGCCTCTGTCTGCTTGTTGTCCTCTTGCATCTCTCCCTCTGCCTCTCTCTCTCTCTCCATCCCTCCCAATCCTGTTGTTTTGTTCGTTGTTGTTGTTGGTTTCCCCTCTGAAATCGCTTCGTCTTCTTTTTCCGGTCATAGTGCGGTGCGTGATATCACCTCTGTCCTGGGTTACGTGTGAGTTAGTGCTATACCTCTCTCTCTATATCTATATCTATTCTATATCTATATGTTATTATTTCCCCCTCTGAATTTGATCTTCTTTTTCGTGTCATAGTGCGGTGCGTGATATTTCTCTTGTGGGGGGCGTCTGAGTCATTGCTCTCTCTCTCCCTCTCTCGTACCTATCTCAATGTAATCTCTCTCTTTCTCTCTCTCTCTCTCTCTATATATATATATCAGCGCTCAACCTGTCATCCACGTGGCTGGCCTTGTACGTAAGAGGTGACGAACAGGTGGGGCTTTCCTTCCTTCCTTCTTTTTCTTTTTCTTGTTTTGTCTTTTTCCGCCTTTGCGCTCTGATTTCCAGTGTGACAATATATATATACGCGCGCACGCAGAGACGGACATAGCGAAGATGGCGTCTTTGTCCGCAATGGGTCTGCGCCATCGGTGCGGAAGGACTGACCCTGCGCTGATGGGGGTGCGCAATCGTGGGGACAAGGTCGATGACGATGACAAGTGGCAGGCGAACGTTCTGGACAAGGGGAATGGAAAGCAGCAGCAACAGGAGCAGGAGGAGGAGGTAAACGAGGAGGGGGAGGAGGTGGTGTTTTCAAAGCCGCCGAGAAGTCGTTATACGTCTGTGAGAATTGTCCCTTCCGATCAGGTTGGCGTTTTCTTAGTGGTCGTCTTGCAGCTTTTCTCGGTCCTAATTAACCATGGTAACCACCAACATGGCCAATTGACATTTGATCTACCGGTCGCTGGTTCGATCTCCATCTCCGCGGACGTGCTCGGGTTAGCCATTGCTGGAGTCTGGTATGCATTGACAATCACCTTCGAGGCGTCGGTCTGGTACTTGTCTTGTCGGCTGGTCATTATGTGCATCGGTCACTGGACGTTGGCCACTGTGAATGCGCTGCAGGTTCATTGCTACCCTGCAGAAGCGTGGGCAAACACGATCTTGAGATGTATATGTCCGTCCTTTCTTTGTGGTCTTGCTTACACCAAGTCCATGGGAGCGCTGCTTGTACGTCTCGTTGGATATCTCCTCGCCTTCATCAGTGTGCTAGCTATGGCAAGAAATCAGATAGCCTTAGTGACGAACGGGCCAGTCCATGTGGCGTTCGTCTTCGCGGCTGGAGTAATCTCCTTCCGCTGGCAGGCCGAGGCTTGGGGGTTGGTACAACAACAACAACAACAACAACAACAACAACAACAACAACAACAACAACAACAACAACATGAACATGTGAAGTCTCCGTGTGGGACGTCTTACACGGCTTCCTCCTCTGCTTCCTCCTCCTCCTCTCCCTCCTCCGCGTCGTTGGTATCGTCTTGGGGAGAAGCAGGGGGGGGAAGATATGCAAACGGCAAAGCCATAGGGGAGTGCTTGCCGCGGAGGCGGGGGGGGGGAAGCATTCCCACTACCCCCCTTAAGGGGAACCAACCACGGGACAACTTGCTGGCCTTTCCTATTGCAGGCGCGGGTAAGAGGACGTCGATCGGTGGGATGGGAATGGGAGTGGGAGGGCCTTCGCTCTCGGGTTTTACTTCTCCCCCTGTTGCTGGTGCTGCGGCTGCTGTTCCTCTTTGCTTCTCTCCCTCTCCTCCCTCCTCTCGAATGTACAATACTTCAGTTGTCGGATTAGAATATATCGATCGGAGCGGAGGACGGGGAGCAGGGGGAGGTGGTGGAGGAGGAGGAGGAGGAGGAGGAGGAGGAGGGAGAGTAATTACGGGACCAGGAAAAGTAACAGCAGGAGGGGGGGGAGGGGGAGGGGGAGGGGGAGAGGGAGGAGTCTCCGCGGGAGGTATTGTTGATGACTTGGCGTTTTCGTCGTCGTTCTCTGATGATGTGCAGACAACGACATCGGGATCTCGACCGCCTGTTGCGCTACATAAGGACAGAAGTCACAGTGCGAAGGCTACGGCGATGGCTATGGAGGGTGGCGGATTGCAACGAGGGGTAGCAGCAGCGAATGCGTGTCGGCGGTGTCTTTGTGACGACGAAAAAATTGACTCGTCTTCCACCACCTCCTCCTCCTTCCCCCCCTCCTCCGTTCTCTCTTCCTGCTGTAAACTCCCGCAGTTGGCAGCAGGGGGGCAGAAGTCAGTGGCGGAGGCGGGGGCGAGCGCCGGTGAAGTTCCCGAGAAGCGCGCAGAAGCCACAGCAGGAGCGAGCGCCGCGCGAGCCTCTTCTTCCGACTCGTCTTCTGCGCGCCAAGACGAGGGGAGAGACGGCGGCGGCGGTGGCGGGGGCGGGGGTGGTGGTCTTCCGCGAGATAAGTGCGTCGGGACGAACGATGTAGAGAAGGACGGCGAGAGAGCACAGGGGGAGGAGGAGGATGATGAGGAGGGAGAGAGGGAGGAGGCGGTTAGGGAAGGGAAGGCGAGGGAGAAGAGCGGACTGAAAACCGGCATACGAAGCGGTGGTGAGGAAGGTGCGCGGTCCGGATCGGGACCGGAGATCGGCGGCCGGTCGGAGCCGGCGGGAGCATGCCGCAGGACGTGGCGCGAATGGCGAAGAGAGCGCGGCTTCTATCCCAACGCAGAGGGATGTCGACGCCGTCCGCGAGGCTGCCGCGAGCGGGTTTGGCGGGGACAGGGAGGCGGGAGGGGCGGCGGGTGGAGGGATGGAGGTGAGGGAGCGGCAGCGCAGGCGGAGGGAAGTTGCGGAAGTGGAAGCGGGTGGCCATGGTGGGAATGGCTCGCGCAGCTGCCTGCGGAAGCGCACGAGGTGCTGTGTCGCGCAAACGCACAGAGGAGAACGGTGGTAGAGACGGTGCGCGAGATCGGCTTCTCCGCTGCCATGCGCAAGTTCGGTTGCCCACAAAACCTAATGGAGGCTAAGTTCCAGCTTGTGAGGGTGATGATGAAAGCGGACTCGACGGAAGAGGAGGTGGTCAGGGCCATCGAGAGCTGCAGGGACGCGAGGCTTCTGATGGGTCTCATCATTCTGGGAACCTCGCGGCATGACCCCTTGGAAGCACCCAAGAGGTGGCGCTGGGTCTCTCAATTAGGTTTGATCTGCTGTCCCAACGAGCACCTGCCGTCCTTTCTCCGACCGTCGGGATCGGGACCGGGGGACTGGGTGGGCGGGAGCCGGGAGGAGCTCCGCAGAGAGTTCGCGGGTAACGTCGGCAGGCTGAGTGCCTGCGAGGCCTGGCTGAGGGAAATGCCCAAGGGGGTGAAGTTTGTCAGCGAGGCCGTTCCGCTCATCCAGCCGCCGTTGGGAGCGGTGCAGAAGGAAGCGATTATGGCCTTCGCCAAAGACGTTGATCTCCTCGACGAGAGGACAGAGCATACGTTGAAGGCGCTCTGCAGGACGGCCCTGGAACCGTTCAGCCATGGCTGCAAGGAACCCTATCGCAGCTCGTGCAGCGAGGCTCTGGAGAAATTGGGCCAGTCTGTGGAGGAGGAAATGTGGAAAACGGTGAAATTGCACTTGCTGCTCTTTGAGCGATGCCGGAGCATTATGGCAGCGAAGCAGTTGGCTTGTTTCATGATTGTATTGGATGGGTGGTGCATCCGCCTGCGGGAAATTGCGGAGGCATGGCAGGCCTGCGCTGGAGAAGGCCGGCGGCAAACGGATAAGGATGGAGGGGGGGAAGGAGGGGGAGGGGGAGGTGGAGGAGGAGTAGTGGATGTGGGAAAGGAGGGGGGGACAAGTAACCCGTACCACCCGGAGTGCGGCCCTTGTAGTTCTTCTACCGCTGACGTCACTAGCTCGTCTGCCGCCGTGAGTACCGCTGCTGTGACCATCACGACCACCTCTCTAGATTCCACCGCCACCACCCCTTCTCCCCCAAATTCTGGTGTATTGGACTCGGAGAAATAGCCGGACGGTGGGGGAGGGGTCTTGGGTCGAGAAGGGCGGCGGCGGCTACAAGGGAATGGGAAGGGGAGGAGGAGGAGGAGGAGGGATGGGAATGGAGGACGTCTCTGTTACCTCTGCTGCCTTTCTCTTCTACTTGCCATCCCTCTTCTTCTCCCTCAATCGCCCCCCTTTTCCCCTCCAAAACTACGTCTCCGTCTCCGCCAGTAGACTTCCCTCTAGAAACATAGAGAGAGAGAGAGAGAGAGAGAGAGAGAGAGGACCAGACTTCGCACCGATGTCACTCACCCACACGTGTGTGCTCGCCAGACAGGGTTATGCGGAAGGTGGAGAGGAGAGAAAGAAAAGGATGAAGATAGAAGCAACAGCGAGATATTGTGATCGACGAGTCTGGGAGGGGATTGCTGAAAGCGGAGGAGCGGAGAAGCGAACGTTGAGCCAGCGTGAGTGAAAAAGGAGAGGAGGAAGGGGGTCGACAAAAGGCGGCGGGCGGAATTGCCCGTTGCCTGTTTTATCTGCATTGTACGTATTCAGGAGATAATGGCGATGATGATGAGGATGTATAGTTTTGATGATGACATGCATACATCGATGAATCGTCGGGTCGATCCATCGATCAGTAGCTTGAAACGAATCTATCATCATCAGTTTATTGCCTAGTCAACCAATCAATCGAGACCAAGGAATCAACCGAATAGACCAATCCATCCATATCCATCCATATCCATCCATTCATCCACCAATCAATCAATCAATCAATCAATCAATCAATCAATCAATCAATCGGATGTTCATTGGCCATTTCGACTGGTCGTCCTGGAGAAACGGTGATTGGCTTGCGATCGGGATACCGGCTCCGACATGCAGGTACCGACTCCGACATATCGGGGTCGATTGATACCGACCCGGACGTGCCAACCTCGACTGAAAGATTGCGAGTGGGGGGGGATGCTGTGGGATTCGGCAGTAAACCAATTGAAAGCCCATTTAATGCGATTTACCCCCTATTTTTCTCCCGATTTACCCCCAATTTACCCCCAAATTACCCCCAAATTACCCCCTTTTTAAGCCCGTTTTAACCCCGACCTAAGCCCGATTAGACCCTGATTGAACCCCGATTGAAGGCCCCCCAGTGGAGCTGGCTTGAAGTCCGATTGAAGCCGATTAATCAACGACTAATATTTCGAATAAGGAAGCCGGAGTCAACGGAGGAGGAGACCGGGCAATCGAGGGTGGGCTGAGATTGATCTGCTTATTGCGATCGACTGATCGTTCTGTCGAGAAGCGAATTAATCAACCAACTAATCAATCACTGAATTCGTCAGTCAATCAATCGATCAATCAAATCGACCGAGCAATCAGAATCAGCATAAGAGGAGAATGGGGGATCGAGGGTGGGCTAAGATTGATCTGCTTCTGGCGATCGACTGATCGTTCTGTCGAGAAGCGGATTTATCAATCAACAAACCAATCAGTCAATTCGTCAGTTAATCAATCGGCCGAGCAATTAATTCATTAGGCCATCAGCTAACCAATCAATGAAGCAATCTACCTGCTGACATGGAAGTCCCAATCCATACTTTGGTGGTCGCGATCGGGATGGGTTGCTATAACGTGCGTCTGGGGCACAGACACCCGCCCCATTTAGTGTGGTGGGGAGATGGAGATCTTAGCGGCGCCCTCTCTCTCAATCAATTAGAGGGTGACCCAACCAGGTAGTCAATCATTCATTCGATCAATCAACCAATCAATCAGTCGATCGGTGAATTAATTAATCAAATCTATCCCACTCACTACGTAGTGGGTGGATCTTAGCAACGTCCTTTCTCTCAATCAGAGGGCGAGCCAACCAGCTGATCAATCAATCAATCAATCAATCAATCAATCAATCGGTTGAACCAATCAATCAATCTGTCGATGCCATCAAGGGTAGTAGAACGAGCTGGACCCAGCATTGCCTTCTTTACTGACCCGCTAATAAGCTATTCGATGGTCTCCATTTGATCGATGATGGTCTCCATTTGATCGATGATGGCCTCCATTTAACCGATTTCCAGCCATCTAACGATTCGTGGAATTGCAGTAAGGTAAGGTACCAGTCTCTGGCTGATGTGTGCGAGAGAGCGAAGGGATGCCCTACAAGTAGCGCTGGTGTCGTCTTGCTGTTAGAAGCGGAAAGTCGGTCTGTGGTGCGGAGCTGGAATTGAATAGCAATCTCTGGCTGATGGGGGAGTTCCATGCCAATCGTTGGCTGTCGTGGAGGTAGCAATCAATTTGTGGGCAGATCTGGTGGACGGTCGTGGTGCGAGACGTGGCTGATGAGGCACAGCCGATGTGCCGCGCTGACGGGTAGTATGTGCGACACGTGCTGAGGGACATCAGCGCTAATGATGTACGACGCGTGACTGAGGAACAGCCAGTGTGCGACACGTGATTGAGGTACAGCTGTTGTACGACACGTGGCTGGTGGACGGCGGAGTGTGCATCGATGACGGACAGCGTATGTGCGACACGTGCTGCACGTGCTGAGTACAACGTATGTGCGACACGTGCTGAGGGACAGCGTTAATGATGTATAGGACGCGTGACGGAGGAACAGCCAGTGTGCGGCACGTGATTGAGATACAGCTGTTGTACGACATGTGGCTAGTGGACGGCGGATGTGGGACACGTGGCCGAGGCACAGCCGATGTGCATCGCTGACGGACAGCGTATATGCCTTACGTGGCTGAGAGACAGCGATGGTGGTGGACGCGGATGTGCGACACGTGGCCAAGGCACAACCGATGTGCATCGCTGACGGACAGCGTATGTGCGACACGTGGCTGAGGGACACGTCACTGAAAGAACAACACGTGGCGGAGGGACAGCGGTTGAAGAGAGCACGCGAAGGTCATCTGTTGGACGCCGGGACATGTGGCTGAAGGACAGCCGATGTGTTTCGATGACGGACAGCGTGTTTGCGACACGTGGCTGAGGGACAGCGGTTGTGCGAGACGTGGCTGAGTGTGCGAGACCTGACTCGTAAGGGCAGCACACAGATAAGATGGCATAATTTGCTCGCCAGGCGTTGCCGTGCGGAGACCTGGCTCATAGCTGAGGAGGCAAACGAACACTCACCTATGCGGATGTGGTTGTATATATATATCTCTCTCTGCCTACGGTTTACCGGGCAGTTCTGTTTGTGACGATATATATACGTATATCAGCCTCCTGATGGGTCGGTGAAACTCTGACGAAACAGTAAGTTTGGCACAGCCCCTCGTTTACCAGGCAGAGTTCTGTTTGACGATATATCTATATATGCCGTCAAAAGTCGAGAAGTGAATCGGTGGACTGTTTGGGTACGGTGAATTGTTTAAGGTATATGCATTTGGGTATAGGTTAAAAGTACAAGTCCACTGTGGAAATCAGGAGGGGGGGTTGTTGTTTGCTTGAGCTATTTTTGGAAGGAGACTTATCTATAGGAGCCAAGGGAACAGCCAGCCACCTATGTGTGCGTCATATGGCGACATGGATCTCGGCGCTGAATCGTGTGTGCGACATGGGTCGGGGCGAGCGATAGGGTCAGACGGAGAGAAGGTGGTTGTGGTGGGTCATGGT